TGCTTTTTCCTCCCCCTCTACCAGTGAATCAACACTTGCTTTCTAAGTTTTTCTTCTGTATCTTCTTTCTCTGTTGTTAGTTTCACTTCCTACTCTTAAAAATGCTGAGCTTTTATCATGGGGAGGGGGAGGGGGGAAGGGATTGCATTGGGAGTTATACCTGATGTAAATGACGAGTTGATGGGTACTGACGAGTTGATGGGTGCAGCACACCAACATGGCACAGATATACATATGTAACAAACCTGCACGTTATGCACATGTACCCTAGAACTTAAAGTATAATAATAATAGTAAATAAATAAAAAAGTAAAAAAAAAAAAATGCTGAGCTTTCAAAATCGTATTTATCAGGAGAAAAAAGAGACTGAAAGAGCTTAAAATGGGATACCTCTGGCTGGGCGTGGTGGTTCATGCCTGTAATCCCAGCTCTTAGGGAGGCAGAGGCAGGAGGATAGCTTGAGCCCAGGAGTTTGAGACCTGCCTGGGCAATATAGCGAGACCCCATTCTCCACAAAAAGGAAAAAAAAAAGGGATACCTCTGAAGGAGGTTGTAATTTGGAATTGTAACACGAAAACCTAAGGAAATTTTTTGCAATTATTTCAACTGTATACTTGTCATTGCTGTTGTCCAGTCTTACAGCAAACTATCAGAATTTTACTTTTGCAATTTTAATAGAGAAGTCTCTGCATCCTAAGAAATGTAAAGAAAAAGAACAATGAAGACTTGGGGAACTTGTAAATTTCATTGTCTCTTGGGGTGTGGAGAATTTTGCAGGGAATAATTCCTGCAAATCCTACACCTTCAGATTGATACCTTCAAAGGACACTAAACCACGATCCTTTTTTAAGGAAGGATAAAACTGTATTTACTATATACAATTCTAGGCATTGGATTTAGTACGTGATGTATTTCACTAAGGTGGCCTCGGTGGGTACTATTTTAAGCTACTCTCTCTATGTGCATATCTTTAGTGACTCAAGGCATTAATATTTTATTCAGGATGTGTAGATAAGATATTTTTATAATTTAATGGAAAGTCTCATGTTTAATGGGTTGGAATTCTGTTTGTTGGCAATTAAATACCTAAGTATATTAATTTTTTAGGGTTTAGGGTTTTGCCAACAGTATTGCTTATAAGAGCCTCCCTTTTCTATCTTCTTTTTAATAGCAACATCATGACAACAGAGAAGAGTTTAGTGACTGAGGCCGAAAATTCACAGCACCAACAGAAGGAAGAGGGTGAGGGAGCCATAAACTCAGGCCAACAAGAACCTCAGCAGGAGGAATCTTGTCAAACAGTAGCCGAAGGAGATAATCAGTTTGAACAGAAGCTGAAAGCTTCTAATGGAGACACTCCTACACATGAAGACTTGACTAAGAACAAGGAGCGGACATCAGATAGCAGAGGCCTTTCACGACTGTTCTCCTCGTTTCTCAAAAGGCCCAAATCTCAGGTGTCCGAGGAAGAAGGAGGCAAAGAAGTAGAGTCAGATAAAGAAAAAGGTGAAGGAGGTCAGAAAGAGATAGAATTTGGAACCAGTCTTGATGAAGAGATCATTTTAAAGGCACCGATTGCAGCTCCTGAACCTGAACTCAAAACAGACCCATCTTTGGATCTTCATTCATTAAGCAGTGCAGAAACACAGGTAAGGATGTATGGATATGGGAGTGGGCAAAGGAAGGCAGGTTATACACTTTATTTTTCATTTAAGAGTATTTGGGCTGGGCGCGGTGGCTCACGGCTGTAATTCCACCACTTTGGGAGGCTGAGGTAGGCAGATCACCTGAGGTCAGGAGTTCGAGACCAGCCTGGCCAACATGGCCAAACCCTGTCTCTACTAAAATTACAAAAAATAGCCAGGTGTGATGGCGGGTGCCTGTAATCCCAGCTACTCAGGAGGCTGAGACAGGAGAAGTTTGAACTCGGTAGGTGGAGGCTGCAGTGAGCTGAGATTGCGCCACTGCACTCCAGCCTAGGTTACAAAGGCGAGATTCCGTCTCAACAACAGGAAAAAAAAAAAAAAAAAAGAAGAGTATTTGGTTTTATTTCTTACCAGCTAGTTGACTTAGGCATTGATAGTGATAAGTAGCATCATGAAGTTTTATAGTTTCTACTCTATTTGTTTCTTTTTTTGTTTTTTTTTTTTTTTGAGACTGAGTCTTGCTCTGTCACCCAGGCTGGAGTGCAGTGGTGCGTGGTGCGCTCTCGGCCCACTGCAACCTCCCCCTCCTGGGTTCAAGCTATTCTTCTGCTTCAACCTCCCGAATAGCTAGGATTACAGGCTCTGGCCACCATGCCCAGCTAATTTTTGTATTCTTAGTAGAGACAGGGTTTTGCTCTGTTGGCCAGTCTGGTCACAAACTCCTGACCTCAGGTAATCTGTCCACCTCAGCCTCCCAAAGTTCTGGGATTACAGACGTGAGCCACCATGCCCGGCCTATAGTTTCTACTCTAAAAAAATTAATGTAGTCATTGGAAATTTACTTTTTAAAAAGATACTTACACTTTATATGTTTATATAAAGGGTCTTGCTATTTTGCCCAGGCTAATCTCAAACTCTTGGGCTCAAGTGATCCTCCCACCTCAGCTTCCTGAGCAGCTGGCATTACAGGTGTGCACCACCATGTCTGTCCATTTACTGTTTATAAATCAAAGAATAGAAGAGAAAAAAAAA